CTGGAGGAAACCTGCTGCAGTCTGCAGGAGACATGGGACTAGGCAAAAGATTAATCTTCCAGGAGGATAGGACCAAAGCTAGAATGGAGTGGTTTAGAAAGAAAAAAAGTCAATGTTCTGCAGTGGCCGAGTCAAAACCCAGACCTCAATGCAATTAAGAATCTGTGGCTGGCAAGAGTTGAAATTGCTGTTCACAAACTTCAGGGAGCTTAAGCAATTTTGCAAAGAAATTACAGTGTCAGAAAGTGCAAAGCATGGCTGTAATTACTGCCAAACACATCTCTAGCAAATATTGACTCCAAAGGGGTGAATACCTATGCAATCAGTTATTTTCTGTTTTATATTTATAGTTAAATTAGGAGGATCTATAGGGTTTTATTTTCACTTAGACATTACAAAGTGTTTTGCGTCAATCAATGGTGAAATCTTGCTGTTTAATACAATATGATTCCATATTGTAATATTGTACATCAAGATATAGAAAGTCCAAGGGGGGTGAATACTTTTGATAGCCACTGTAAATGAAGAAGATACACATGCTAGAAAATGGATGTTGATTGGTATTTTTTAGTGAACCAAGATAGTTCCTCATTATAGCTTCGCACTAATAAAAGAAACGTATGGGGTCCGATATCATTTCAGCCAGCTTGTGCAGTGAACCTCAACGCATCCCCAGCCAGTAACTGTCATCTCTTAGACCACCTTCTGAATGAGGCCAGGGTGTCACCAGGTGAAGATATCCAAAACGTGTGAAAGTTTCTGCAAGTTTAGTCTGTTGTTTTGAAAACGTTTTTTTTTTTTAGCTTGTGCAAAGTATTTAACTAGTAAGTCCATACCTTTGACCTGATCATATTCAATCAAGTGTTTGTAAATCAATTTCCACTTTCAGACTGTTGGTGTTAAAGCTTCATCAATTTACTGTACATATTTAATTGCAGATGTGTTATTGTACAGTATAACTTCTCAGTTGCCAGTATATATTCTGTGATCCATCTGTGAACCATAACTGTAACTCCAGTTAATGTTTCACAGTGTGAAATACAGAAAACCACTAATGCGTATCTTTACTGTCACACTCTAGCGGTACTCTATATATGGAATGAGGTTTCCATCTGCCTTCCTGACAGGGAGACTTTCACGTCAAGTACTAAAAACTAGTCACAACATACAGTGAAGCTGCAACTTTGCTAATATGTTTAGCAAAGTAACATAATCATTTTTAACAAATGAGGGGTTTGCATGTTAATAGATGCGCAATCCAGAGTTTTCTGTCATCAGAAGAGTTATATAATAAGACACCGTGCTTTTAATTCAAATTATTAACACAATACCTAGTGACATTGCTGAATTTTGAGTTGGTTTCCTGAAATTAAACACAAAGCTGAGATCCCAAGGCTGCCTTCTCACAGATCCATCTGTAGGCACTGGCGCAGTTGCTTTTACTGAGTTTATTTGTCATCTTTCCACATCCAGGATTGGAAGATGGCCGTCCAGAATCCCAAAAGCTAAATGGAAAAATAAGAGTGCATACAATATAATTCATTATATGATTT